AAATTTATATCATAGTTTATCATTCTCCCCCAACAATACCATCAAATTTTAAAAAGATTACTGGTAACAATGAAATTAAATGTCAAAAGTGAGAAAGAGAGGGTGAGTATATATTGCTTATAATGTAAACCAAGCCAATTTATGTGAGTGTGCATGCACATGCAGGACGTAGTTAAGCTAAATATAGGTATATGATCGATATGCACTAGTGTACCTTTTTTCCTACTCCATTCCATCCCTATATATGTAAGCCATGACTCCATTCGATCCCTCAGCTCCTCGGTACAATTATATCATTTGATAGTGAATATAACTCCATTCGATCCCTATATCCTCCGTACAGTTATATTATTTGATAGTGATAATTAAGATACAAATATTATGTATCCATTATCTAGTATTGTGTTTTGCTTTGTGGTATTACTCACCCTGTTGGGCGGAGGTACTTCTCAGCTGGGATATCGTTGTGGTGATTCGCTTGTTCATCACAACGAAAACAATATAAAGATCGTTTTGGATGATCTGGTGTCGAACGCCACCCGCCCAGGTGGATTTTACAAAACAAAGGCAGGAAGTGGAGGGTCCAATACGGTATACGGGCGCTTCATTTGCAGGGGCGACATCTCTCTAGCTGACTGCCAGTCGTGCATAGAAGATGCCGCAAAAGAAGTATTGGTGTTGTGCCCGCTTGCAGAGAAGGCGGCGGGCCGTATCTTCTATCGCCAGTGTACGCTAGATTATTCTAGCAACCCCATGTTCGGAATTGAGGACATATACACAGCGCCGGTGGTTTCATGCGATTCGCAGATCAGTTCGGAGCCGCAAAGGTTTATGGGTTTGTTAAAAAACGCCCTAAACCGGATGGCAGATGCGGTGGCGGCGACCTCCGGAAAATTTGCTACACTGGAGGCTAATGTCTCCTCTGCCTCAAAGACCATGTATTTGCTTGGGCAATGCACCCCCGATCTCTCCAAATCGGAATGTGGGAGCTGCTTGGAGGCGGGTATCCGCTTTGTGCCGCAACTTTGTTACTCTACATTGGGTGCTGAAATCATATTGGCTAGCTGCCATATCAAATATGACATGTACCCTCTGAGTAAAATCTTGCCCTCTCCTCCTGCTCCTATCCGCCGCCCTCCCGTTAAAGGTAATTAGTCCGGACCCCCACACAATTGCATGTTCTTCAAGTGTTTCTTCGATCAAGTACGTGTTTCTTTGTTTCAAGTGTTCTTCAAGTGTTTCTTTGTTTCAATTTTTTTCTAATTTCATATAATCATATATTAATTATAGGTAGCTAGCTAGCTAGTATAGGTCGTGTTTTAGCCCCCCCTCCCCGTATTTTTTGTCTTTTTCTTCTTTTCGAAGAAACCTTTGTCTAGTTTTTAATTTCAAAATTTTCCCATTTTTTGTTTGAGGTTTCTTTTTCTTCATTTCTAAAAATATATTTTGCATCTTCAAGTAATTTGTTATTTCAAAATTTGAAACTTAATTAGACAAGCGTTATGTGATTTTTTTTAGCCATCTTAAGTTATTTCAAATTGTAAATGCTAAGCTAATAATTTTTTGCAATTAAGGTTAATAAACTGATATAGCTAGGCCTGCTTCTTTAATTTGTTTTATTTCTTTAGTCCGCATAATCTTGTTTCATGTGCACCTCTCATAAACTAATTTAAGATGGCTCCATTTTTTGCGTGCAATCTTTTTTTTTTTTGATTTGCATCATTATGTTGTCAAGTGCTTCCTTGATGCACAATATTTTTTTTGGACCTTTTCATATAAAAAATCTATTTTTAAATTAATATATTAAAAAACGGATGTTTATATAAATAGTAAAAAAGTATTTATTTTACTCATATATAGGTCCATGATAGACTTTAAGTCCATCAAAGTATTTGCCTATTTTGTCATCGCATCCTATATATTCACTACCTTTTTAGCCAAAACATTTTATTTTCTTATTATTTTATATTTAATGAAATAAAATTACAATTTCTACTTTTTGCTATTAAAATACTTTGGACCCAAATTACTAATTCGCGCAAAATATGGAGTATTTCTTGTTTTGATGAACATTTAAAATGTTCCTTATTATGGCTGCCAATATATGCGTACCATTAATGTGTTTAGTGTCATAGTTTTAAAAACAAGACCAGATGGGCCAGTTCAAAATCAGAAACCGGTGAATTGGTCCATTTACACTTCTCTACCATTCTAACCAAACCATAGTTTTGAAAACCGAACCGGCAACCGAACCGGCCGAGCTACCGGTTCACTGGTTCACTGGTTGAACCAGTGGTTCGAGCGGTCGAACCGGCGGTTCAAACATGTTTTTTAAAACACCATATTCACACATATTTTTTGCCACAAATTAAAGTATTATGTTCCAAGAATACCAAATTCTTGAATATAGTCCCCAAAAAAAGAGTGAGTTTAATAGTGTTACATGCCAAAAATAAACACAACTTCAAAATACAAGTCATCAAACAAGATCAAGCGATTTCTAAAACAAACACTTCAAATGCTAAGATTGTTAACATAATTAAACTCTGGAGTAATGTTCAACTCGTGAATGCGATCAAAAGGATCATCTTCATCTTCATCCTCACCATCTTGTTCATTTGGAACATCCAAGTTTAATTCGTCTACGAAAATATAATGATCAAGAAATAACTCATAATAATAATTAAATGTAAGAAATAATCATAGGGAATTATCATCTCCCACCTCTATACAGTGGCCCCAAGCTGGATCTGTCTTTCCTCTTTGTGCATTCTTGTCATTTTGAGTAGCCTCCATTGAAACCAAAATTCAAAGCTGATCCTGAAATAAGAAATAGGATACATTATGAGCCAACAACCTATATTACGAATCTATAAAATATAAGTATAAATCTTTACAACAAGAAAAATGACAAGTAATACCGAGCTGCTGTAACATAATAAATTCAGGAAAAGATCATTAAAAAAGAATATAAAAGTTTAACTTTATTTGTATATAAAACATGGAGCAATAACAGTGTTGCGCAGCACAACATTGGTAAAGCATATCATGAAAAACAAACTCTTGGACTAAAAAAAATCATGAATAAATATCAAATTAAAAGAATAGAGTTTAGCTGAATCAATTCTCAACCTATTACTTTTCAATTACTAATGCCATCATTCAAAGCCACAAATAACTAACCCATTCTTTAAAAAATTAGGAATCATAATTTTGGGAAGTACACAGAGTATAACACTATAACTATAATACTATTAATACCTGGAGATGGAGCGCACTATGCGTTGGACATTGAGAGGAAGATTATCGGAGGTGGCGAGAGAGATGATCAGAACAGAAAGTCTTGGCGGAGAAGAAGAATCGACATTCACTAGGGTTCTTTGATTTTTTTCCGTCAGTGGATTGTAGATCTGTAATTTGGTTCGATGGAGTCAGTAGGATTTTATTTTTTAGCTTTTAACAAAAAAAAGAAAAAACCGGAACCGTTAAAAAACCGGCCGGTTCATTCCGGTTCTTACCGGTTCAGTGCTTATTACGGTTTAATAGGGTGGACCGGACCGGTTCGCCGGTTCCAGGTCCGAACCGGCCGGTCCTGTCCAGTTTTCAAAACTATGAACCAAACTACTTTCTCGGTGATGGTGCGCGTGTACAAAGAGAACATGTCGTCCGCGGTGAACTCTAATGCTCAAAAAAGAGCATGCAGTGTTTGATTTCAGTCTGTTTTGACGGAGTGTTGAACTCTGAGTAGAGGGGACTTAATTCTTAAAACAATGTTCTTAGCACATTTCTTACAACAACACTATCGGAAAACATGAGATCCCGTTTCTTAAATTGTAAGTATACATTTATACTACTTCATCCGTCCCAAAAAACATTTCTCCTTTTTTTTCATCCGTCCCAAAAAACACTTCTCATTTCTATTAAAAAGTCACTTTTATCCCTTACTTTTTCATACCCTACCTATCACTTCATACATTTTTATTAATAATCTATCTATCAAATCATACTTTTACACATCACATCAAAGGACATTTTTGGAAATTTAATACCAAAATACACTCTCCTTAAATCCACATTCAAAATCAAAACTCCCATGTTTTTCGGGACAGAGGGAGTATGTTATATTATTCACACGCTATAAAAATAAACAAAAAAAATTACTATTTAAATGAATATTCAAAATATGATTCTCAACTGGATTTTTTAAAGTCATAATTTCTACATCTGACATTTTTAAAGATAACATTAACTAATTGGATATAATGATTTTTGTCAAAAGCCTCAAATTAGAACAAAAGATTTAGACATATCCATAATCCTTCTTTATCACATTTTAAAAATGGAAGAGTAAAATGAAAAGTAGATTTGTTTAAATATTTTTTTAAGGGAAAGTCTAATTGAAAGAATTTTAATAATTATTTAATATTTCTTTAAACAGGAAGTCTAATCCAGAAATACGTATTAATACAAAAAATATTATCTCAAAAAAAACAATATAATATTTTGCATTAAAAATGTTTTTTTAGACTACTTGAGGATAAAATTGAGGAGCATAAAAATTACAAACATAAAGGAAGATTCAAAATATGATTCTCAAATGGAGGCATGACTTCTTTGAGTCTAATGAAGAAATTCATATTAATACAATAAATACAAGAAATGTATATAGTGTAATACAAAGTACTGAAAAATAAATTTTTTGGTTAGGAGTGAGTATCGAACTCTGGTATCACTGCACCTCTCTTGCCACCCATACTACGGAATCTATGTCTTTTATTACTACACTAGCTGGGAATGTGCAAGTGCGCATTGGGTGCCCAACTTAAATATATGTTTATAGAAATTAATACTTTGTGTATTAGACTTAAGTAATAAAGGTGATGTTATATATATGAGATAACTTTAGAAAAATCAAATATGGCACAAACCTAATGACAAAAAATACACCCATTCACAAGGCTTTGCCAAAGCAGGAAGACAAATTTAATTATTTGTGTTCAAGTAGTTAAGTATCTATACCATATGGCACAAGCATTCCTACCTTATTGGGATAGATTGACATATATTACAAGAAGGGTAGGGATCTGCTTTTAAGGCAAAGATGTCTGTACATAGCTTCCTAGTAAAGTACTCCCTCCGTCCCCCATAGATCTTCCCAATAGCCCTTTTTCATTGTCCACAATAGATCTCCTCATTTCATTTTTTAACAATTAAAATACCACAATTACCCCTACTTACTTTATTTATTACACCCCACCCACCTCATTTAATACACTTCACCCATTTTCATTAAGGGTATTATGGTAAACTTTCACCTTTTTTCAACTCTCCTTAAAAACCACCAAAAGTCAAAATGAGAACATCTTAGGGGAGCAGAGATAGTAATAAAGTTGACTATTTATAGATTATGTCATCAGCATTCCTAATTAAGATAAACATATATTACAAGAGGGGTATTGATTAGCTTCTAAGGGTAAAATGTTTGTAGCTTCATGGCAATGTAATCTGGACTGAGCTTGCTCTTCAATCCTAAGTTTTTTCTCTAAAGTTGGGTTCTTGTGTGCTTCTGAGAGAGGTTATAAAGACATAGTAGTGAGTACATCTTTCCTGCTTCAAATTCACACAATCGATTGACTCCATTGGTGTATTGAATTCCAATGTCTTTACTATTTTTTGGAGCTCGTTGGTGAAGAGGGTGAGCAGTTTACATAAGCTGGTAATGTTATAACAAAATCTCTACCTATATAGGGTTAGAAGTACTTTTATCAAACAAAAAGCACCAAAGTAATGCTTCTTTGATAAAACTTATCCAGAAAATGAAAGTCATCTCACACAGACACTAACTTATTTCAGAATAGGAACTCATTTAAATTCAAAGAAAATAATACGTACACCACTTACTTTGAGGATAGTCCAAGATCGTCTTCTCCAGGCTGGAACACTTGTCTTAATGAATCTTTGAAAACTTTATGGCCAAAACTTTCAGCCAAAACTACAAGCCCTCCAATCTTTTCAACTGTTACTTTTAGTTCAGCAAGTTCAACCTATCATATGAGAAGGATACTGGTCAATACCAAAAAAACAGAGTACAGAATGGTAGTAACAAATTGTTGTGCCCCCAAAACTATTTCACTGTTTAAGAGTACAGACAAAGAAAATCACCTAATCCAGTGCACAAGCAAAAACATCAAGTACATGTCCTTGACTACAAACCACATTGCTAATTCAGACCCACTTAAAAACAAAATCAAATGAAGAACTCTATATTGTTTGAATACACATTTACAATTAACAAAGAAGAAAAAGAAGAGTGGATGCCTGTAAGAGAGATGATTTCAAGAAGCCAATCTCCTCCTCAATTAGGCAGGTGTCGATGACCAAGAGGGTTAGAAGTACTTTTATCTCCTCCTTTTCTGGGGCGCTTTCATACTCGATCGTGTTGTACTGAGGGAAGAGCTCGGCAGGCACATTAGTTTCAGAGATGGACTGGTAATTGGCGGGGAAATGATTCCACTGCTACAATAAAAACACCAAACACCAATGAACAATCCAAAAAATGACTCACATACACATAGAGGACTTGTTTTTAGTAAAAAATAGACAAAAAACGACTTTTTCAAAAATAGTGTAAATAACACAGTAATTGGAAGAGAAAGAAAAAGCACTTCAAATTTTGGAAATTTGTTTTAAAACCTAAATTCACATTCTTAAATGAAGTAAATTGTTTAAAATTAACAGAGCCATTGAAATAGAAACAAAAAGAGTTCTGGTTTTAGATTTTTTTTTAAAAATTTAAGTCAGATTCTTAAATGAAGTTAATTTTTTAAAATTAGACTCAGTAAATAATAAAGTAATTTAAATATTAAAAAACAGTTCGGTTTCAAGAATTTTTTTAACCTAACTTTTGAATCTGAAATAGAAATAAAGAAGTTCTAATTTCAGAATTTCCTTAAACCTAAATAAAGATTATTAAATCAAGAAAATGTTTTAAAATATCACTCAGTTTGTAAAGGACTGAAGTTTTAGCCGGTAAACCTAATTGAGAAAGAGGTGAAATTCAATTGTCGATATTCAAAAGAGGTGTGAAATTGAATTAGCAGAACTGATATGAAGGGGAATGTAAAATGACGAAGAGAAGAGGAATACCTGCAAGTCCAAGAGCAAGTATGCATGTGCACAGGAGAGTTGAAGGAGGACGAAGATATATGAAACGGCAGTGAGCGGCGAAATAATAGGGGCATACTGGGCAAGTAGAATAGAGGATAAGTGGGGGAACACTGAACAGAAGTGCCGTTAAATGTGGATGAGAAAACGGTGCCTTAGGTGAACAGTACACTCGTTACATTTTTTGACGGAAAAAAAGAGAGCATAACCTTCTTAGGCCCTTATAGTATTAGAGAGATATGCACTTATGTATTCAAATTCTTTCTAGTCTAAAATGGAACATCTTACATGGATAGTCCGTTGGTAACGTACGTACGTATTTGGGTCTTTGGTCCAGTCTGGTTTGAATTTCAACCATGACAAATGGCTACTAACAATGTATCAACATCATTTTCTGATTTCTCTAGGAAGCAACAGAAAATCTTCCTTAAGGGTGGCTATTGTTGCAAGTACAGCTTCACTTGGTGGATTATACTTGTAGTTGCAATCGTATGTCTTTTGAGATTGAAACTACTCGCCAAAAGGGAATATGAGATGCAGCCTTTAAGTGCAGCAGGTTAATTATTAGAAAATATATATTATTGATCGCGTTGCATTTTCTTTTATTCCTTATAATAATCTTATCATCTTTGCATGTCCTCTTTGTAGACCCGATTGGCATTTCCAGAATGTCCTCCCGGTATGATTTTGATACAATTAAAATCATAACCAATGATTTTGCTTGTAAAATTGGGAGCGGTGGATTCGGTTGTGTGTATAAGGTATATATGATGATGAAGCCCATGCATTTTGAATTTAGTTGCCAATATTTACAAAGTTTATCCTATTATTTTACAATTATTATGTTACTTTAATAAATTAGACCCTAAACTTTCTTTTTTTTTCATTAGGGCAAGCTTCCTACGGGGGAGGAAGTGGCAGTGAAAAGGCTCACTGAAACCTCCCAACAAGGGGTTGAACAATTCATAAATGAAATTGAAATCCTCCTGAAAGTTCAACACCGAAATCTGGTTCGGTTGTTGGGATACTGTTGTGAGGCAACTGAAAAAATACTTGTTTATGAGTTTGTCCCCAACAAAAGCCTTGACTTCTTCATATTTGGTTAGTTTCATAAATATATCTCCTTATAAGTTTCATTTTCTTTTCTACATACTTGAAACAAGTTGGTATTACTGACACATGGCCTAACACATCATAATATGTGTTTGTGTGACTTTTGAAATATATCTTTAGGTCGAGACTGCCCTAATTTGGATTGGCCAACCCGATTCAAGATCTTGAAAGGAATCGCACGAGGGCTACTATACCTTCATGAAGATTCTTATGTGAAAATTGTACACAAAGATCTAAAGGCGTCCAACGTACTACTGGATTCAGATATGAATCCAAAAATAGCAGACTTTGGGTTGGCCAGAATATTTCCATGTGATCAATCAGTACGAAGTACGGAGGGAAGGGCTGGAACCAGGTAATTAGTTATGCCCATAAAATCTATGATGATTTTAATTTGGATGCTCTATTATTCCATGTTCTTCTAGCTAAACTATCTCCAAAATAACTCAAAACTAGCTATCTTATAAATTTGTGTTTTCATTGCCTTTTAGGGGGTATATGCCCCCTGAATATTGCTTCTCCAGAAGACTCTCTGTGAAGTTTGATGTTTACAGCTTTGGGGTTCTTACTCTAGAGATTATTTCTGGTAAGACAATTCAAAGGACCCAGGCAGCAGGAGAAAACCTTCTTAGCAATGTGAGTAGACGTACATTTTAATAATAAACGAACACATCTCACTTTCTCCCCTGGCTAATTAATCCCATTTGTGTTTCTATCTTTTCTTAAACAATATTATTTGCACTATAAATAACATGTTTTCTGTTCTAATTCACACCCACACACACAGAAATTAAAGGTCCTTACTTAATTCAAAGTTATAGATGCTCTTATTATATGACAATTGACCTATAAATATATATTGAATCATCATCATATAAATTATTTGAGGCGTGGGATCGCTGGATGGATGGAGAGCCCTTAGAGATTGTAGATCAAGCTCTAAGCCAATCTTATAAAGATGAAGAAGTCATCCCATGGATACACGCTGGGTTACTCAGTGTGCAAAATGATGCAGACAAGAGACCAATAATACAAGAAATTTTGTTCATGGTCACCAACTATTCAAGTCGTACTTGGGCAGTACCATGTCAACCACCATTATATAATGGTCAACACCCCAATGAGAGAGATATTATTATTCATGAGCTTCCATCGACGACGACGACGAGTGAGCTTACGTCCTTCACATTTTTAACACCACGCGAAAGCTTTACCACATAATGTTATGTGGTAAAGCTTTCACATGGTGTTAAAAATGCCAAGGACGTAAGCTCAATCGTCATCGATGGAAGCTCATGAATAATAATATCTCTCTCATTGGGGCGTTGACCATGATATAATGGTGGTTGACACGGTACTACCAAAGTACAACTTGAAGCTAGTCGGTGAAAAAGTATTTCTTGTGTGACGTTACTGGTGTCTATTTTGATGTGTTTGTTAATGATTCTTGGGTCATCAACATGGTCACAATGTAAATTCATTTGATAATTCAAGCACAATGTACACAAACACTACAATGCGTGCGTGTTAACAAACAAAGTTATGTTCTATTCAATTTATTTTTTTAATTAATACTTATCTTATTAAAATTAGATTAGATCTAATTATATCAGATCCAATTAGATCAGATCAGATACAATCAGATTAGATTTAGAACAATTGTTGTTGTTGTTGTTGTTATTATTATTATATTATTATTATTATTACAACTATTACTATTAATTACTATTGTTATAATTATAACTATTAATATTAATATTATTATTATTACTATTGCTATTATTATTACTATTACTATCACTATTATTATTATTATTATTATTATTATTATTATTATTATTATTATTATTATTATTACTACTACTGATACTACTACTATTGCTATTATTACTATTATTATTATTATCATGACTATTATTATTAATATTATTATTACTATTTTAATATTATTAGTACTATTGGCATTTAATTATGACTATAATTATTATTACTATTGTTATTATTATTATTATTCATATAATATTATTATTACAATTATTATTATTATTATTATTATTATTATTATTATTATAACTATTATACTAATAAATATCATTTCAATTTAAATCAAATTTATATCAGATAAGACTATATCAGATTTTTTTTCACTATAGTTTTAAGAATTGAACTAGACCAGCCAGTTCGGACCGTGAACCGGAGAATTGGTGGTCCACCTAGTGTACTAGTTTTATGTACTCCCTTTGTTTTAAAAAAACTTCTCGTTTTCTCTTTGATACGTCCAAAAAAGATACACCTTTCTATTTATTAAAAATTTTGTGTGCCCACATCTCTCTCATTTACATTAATTTTAATCATACAATTTTTTTTAATTTTATGTCAAACTCAATTCAAAAAAAAATTGAAAATGGAGGGAGTATGTTCACTATTCAATGTCATCTTGTTCAAGTTGACCAAAACAGTTGTGAATGATAATTTTAAAAAATGTAATTTACACTTACATTTTATTTTACATAAAAGATGTAATAAGGTATTCACTCTTAGATATATTTATCAAAATAATATAATAAAATAAAAAAGAATAAATATGTACATTTGTTAAAAGATACTCTCCAGTGATCCATTGATCCATGCCAGGATTACTTAAATATCCACCGAACATTCACATAATGTATGCGAAATCTGGATGCGTACATACTTGAGAATAGCAAAGAATCCCAATCGTAGAAGCATAAGGAATCTTTTGTATTTCTTTTCCTTCAAATGTATTCTTGGAACATTTGCGTAGACTAAACTTATCTTGCTTAGAAACTTGTTTTATTTTTAGTTCTGTTTCTTCCTTGAGTTCCTCATTTGACCATTGCATGAGGTTTTTGCAGTGTTTGGTGCTATGTTGATTAATGAGCCTATTTGGTGTTGTCATTACCTTAGTATTTGGATACATAGGTCTTGACTTAGGGTTATGCTATAGTAACATCACGGATAACACCAAGGTTAATCTCATTATCGTTTCAATTCAAAGACGTGGTTTTTCTTAGACAAATGTGTGTATTTGTCTCTAGGAGTAAAATTTTGGCATCGGTCGGGTTAAAGTAGCACTATCTCATGACATGTAAGAATTGAAGGTAGAGGTATTTATTGGTGAAAAAGTATTTTGTGTGTGTGTTTAATTTATGTGTGTGTGTGTAACATCATTGCTTACTTTGCAGCTGCCATACTCAGACATAGTACTCCCAAAACAAGGCTTGGAAAATTGAGAATCACGAGAAAGTCTTTGGAATAACATCAGGAACCTGTCCTTATATAAGTTGGCCTTTGCAGTGGCATCACCATGTATGAATAGGAAGCCTACCTGCATGCCTACACATATATGAAAGCCCATGTCATTGACAATCATAGCTTTTCCAGGTCTAATGTACATGTGTTAAGAATAAAATTGATAAATAAGAAAGAAGTAAACCAAACCCACATGGTTAGGTAGCACCATAATTTGTCTATGAAAACATTAAAAAATTTTAAGTATAAATCCTCTAAAATGTGAGACTCCATCAGTACAAAACCAATTGCAAGAATAATCAGTATCTGGTACAATGTACTTAACCATGACATGGGAGTGTAAGGCAACAGGAAAAACATGAAGCAGCATATTCAAAACTTCACTAATTCTCGTACATCAAAGAACACAATAAACTAATTGTAAATATGCTTGTATAAGGTATTCTCATATACACGTGTAATACTGTAATCATGTAATCATTTATAGTTTCTCAGGACACTACTTTAAAACTACAAAGTTGAGATTGAAAGAAAACCAAAGTGCACAATGTATCTGCCATAGTGGCTGCTTGAACATCAAAGTAAAAGTAAATATGATTCAGCTATGCAAATAAATTTGGGCTCAAACAACATATCACCAAGCCGAATAAACTGGAAAAAAATGCCATCATAAGTTGACGTACTCATAAAAGATTTTCTTTACTGGATCATATCTCACTTTTGGGGCATCAAAAGCATCAATGACTCGAAGTGCCAGTGCTGAAGAGCATGAGCTACAAAGGAAGTTACATCAAACCTGGAACAAGAAGATAAGAGGTCTCTTGGTCATGAGAAAGCACCAGCCCCACCATTACCCATGCATGTTTAAGGAAAAAAAACTTCCGTTACATAGACACGTGCAATGTAGATCCGTAACAACTAGAAAGGGTGTTGGCTAATGATGAATGAAAGATTGAGTTCATTAAAGAAAAATGGATCCAAAAAAAGAAGAAAAGTGACTTTCTGTCCGTGGATGTGTCGAACCAGCAAGATCCTAGATAAATTGAAGGGAATGCTGAATTTAAAGAACATGATCAGAAAAGTTCTCACAATCTACAAGAAAAAGAAAATATATAACACAAATGATAATTCTTGAAACTAAATAAACAAGGTGTGAATTATATGAATAATCCTTGTTTTTCCTGTACCTATGGACAATTTTTAATGATTGGGTTGTGCTATCAATGTAAGTCAATATGGACAGTTTTAAAGGTTCCTTCTAAATTGAAAACACACATGGACAATTTTTAATGGTCGGGTTGTGCTATCAATGTAACTTATGTAAGTCAATAAGCTCTCGACTATAGCTAGTAAGCTCACCATACTTTTGAATTAAAATGATAGTTGAAAAGAAAGCTTTCATTTTGAAAATGGCTGGTGAAGTTTAATGGTGGGTTTTCTAGATCCAATACCAGTATCAGGTTCACCAGTCACATTCATATGATCTTCTAATAATGGCATGCATAGTTGTGAAAAGCACGCCAACATTCATATGATCTTTTAATAATGGCATGCATATATAGTTGGGAAAAGCACGCCTGAGCCGTGCCTGAGTCGCGATGTGCGCGATGTGCTATGGTTAGTGCATCAGCAGACTTGATGTGTGCACTGTTCGTGATGTGCACGCCTTACTGCGCCTCCTCACATTATGCGCCATTATGTGATGCGATAAAAGGCGCACATTAGGAACATATATTAATTTATTTTTTTTAAAGGTTAGGTTAAGGGATTAGTGTTAATATTTATTCCGCCTCACCCTTTATTATCTTCATGTTGGTTTACAACCCATAGAAGTTCAAACGACAAGTCTCTTCCTCCTTCAGTCCTTCGACGATCTCCTTCCTCGTTTTTTCTCTGCTATGACTCTCTTTCCTGTCACCATGGATAACACTAAACTTCACCGTGGAAAGCAAGTCAGTAACACAGTACCCCAGTCGCAAGTCACAACCAGTTACGACTCTCTTCCTCCCAAGTCCCACCTATTATGGTAATTCTTTTCTTATTAAAGAACTTGTTTTTTCTACACTGGTTTTTTTCTTAGATGTACACTGGCTCTCTATTTTTTTCAAACCATTTTTTGATGTACAATACATATTTTTCCTTCAGATATTTTTTTCTAGCAGATATGTTTTCACATTTTAATTCCGCTCTTTGAACTTTATGGTTTTTAATTTTGTCTATGCCTCAATGGTACGATGAGTGACTTCCATTCTTGATTGATTTCTAAAACTTCATTATGCTTTTAAAAGTTTTATACGGAGTATATACTATTACTAATGTAGATATACTACATACGGAGTATCTACTAATATCCAATTTGCGCATTGTGTTTGTGATGCGCGAGCATCAAGTGTGCATCGCGCATTGAGGGGCTAGAGCCCTTTAGTGCATCGGTGCGCATCACGCCTTAAATAACTATGATGGCATGTCATCGCAAGATAAAACAAAATCACTCTCTACACAGTCAATTTCAGCTACAATTCCTTATGCATCTAAACCACCTCAGTATAGCTTCTTCATTTTTATAACCAATGAGAGGGCAACAAGCAGTACTTATTGCTAGGATGTAGGATCAAGGGATATAATTCTAATAGTTGCTAATCGCTCATAATGTTGTCTTTGTTAATTCTGAACTCTCTACATAAGAAAAGACCAATTCAAAAGCTACTCGGTATATTTTTAACTCAGTATATTTTTCCAGTAAATTTTCCAATGACTCAGCACTTACACTATGTTTGGTTCAAGGAATTTGAAAAGGAAAAGAAAAGAAAATGAAGTGAAAAACCATTTCTCTTGTTTGGTTAGAGGGGAAAAGAAAGGAAAAGTGGAAGGAAAAGAAAATGAAGAGTCAAAATGTACCAAGTGGAGGAAAAACCAAATTCCTTCCATTTTGGTGAGGAAAATGAGATAAAACCATTTTCTTTTCTTTTCCTTCCAAAATCCTTGAACCAAACATAGTGTTAGTATATTTTCGATGAACTCATTATTCATACCCAAATCAATAAACTCAGTACCCGGTATGTTTTCCAATTCAACTCATATTTCTAGTGAATTTTCCAAATCCTCATTAGTCATTAGACAATTAAAAAATTGATGAACCGCAAATCATAAACCCTCGAACTAAATTAAGTTTTGGATTCAATTGAGTCCAATTATAAATTAGACCCATAACAAACACTAATGTGCAGAAATTAAAAGATTTGGGAAATAATTCCAAACCTGGTGATTGATGCTAGCTATGAGTAGGCGATCGATTAGGCAGAAATTAAAAGATAAGCGCAGTGAGTAGTCGATCGATTAGGCCAAAAATCAAGCCTCTAGCTGACGATTGAATTGAGAATAAGGAGAACGATTTGAGAAGACTCGGCATTTTGGAAATCAGCGCCGCCTTGGAGTAAATAGCCTGATCGAAAAAATTGAAAGCTTTACACAGCCCCTATCTATAAAAACGATGTGCGAGGGTTAAAAAAATTGGATAAGCGCGTTACTATTTAGAATCCTGCTTGCTCGGTTTTTTTAAAGTTTACCCAACCATTTATTATTTTTTTAATACTCTCTCTGTCTTTAAATAGACTATAATTTTTTTCTCTCCTCTCGATAACTTTTGTTTGTTTACGCGATTTCATTAAGTATTTGATAAAATAAAATATTCATATCACCTCGTATTTTGTATAACTTTTGACGTAGTTTTTATATATAATTTTTATATCTTATTAATATATCAATTTATAAATAAAATGATTTTAAAAAGTACTCCGTAACCAATTTATACCAATTATAAAATTGATATACCAATTTATAAATAAAATAAAATGATTTTAAAAAAATTTTACTCCGTAACCAGCAATTTGTAATCAGATTGGAGACGGAGGGAGTATAAATTTTGTAATATTGTAGTGTTGTACTGGATTTATATATATATATATATATATATATATATATATATATATATATATATATAGGGGTTGGTTCATGTGAGAATGATGCTCTACGAAAGAAATAAGAATAAATAATACACACAAGATTAGGTGTAATGTGCGGCTGAGATCAAAACTCCTAGTAGATTAGTTTATCAACTCTTAAATGGAAAGTAGGAATGGCCGTGCTTTGAAATAGGAACAAATCTAATTTGAGGGGCATAAGTGTCATCCGCAATTAGAAAAATTTGCTGGATCATTTCAAAAATAATTCACTTGCCGGTTTTATCGACTTTCCTCGTCGAATAGCGTAAAGACCTAGATTCTTCCATTTTTACCATAGAAACAACTCGAAAGCAGGTTTGAACACAAAATCCTTTCCGCCAATGAGGAATATTGCAATAAAAAAATGAGGCGCTGCAACATCGGTGAAGAGGCCGGAAAGGGTCAAGCAGAAGTCCGCAGTATATTTTGTTATTGCTTTAATTGAAATTCTTGTTGGTATCCATAGTTTAGTGCGAGGAGATGGTGTTGATGGCATTTTGGATGTATTAATATTTAATTGAAAAAAAAGTCTTGCAGATTTGTAGAGCTATTGGATTCTTAATTTTAGGGTTTTCTTGTTTCTTGTAGAGGTTAGATTGGTTTGGTGTTCTGCAGATCTATGGCCATAGAATGTTATGCACTGTCTAGAACTTAAAATGCATTGGCTAGAACTGAAAATGCAGAGCGAATATTTTAATTGCATATGTATGCATTTTAAAATATGTGCTCTTAGACCATGAATATTAACTTGCTTCATATAAAATTTGTGCGCCCTTTTGCTGCACTAGGAATGAATTTATTAAACATTAAACTAATTATGAATGCATTCTTGCATGAATTAGACTCTCTTTTCAAAATTGATGTTATTTTAGTTCAATTCACTCCTTGAAAACTCGTGAGTTAATTTGTTTTTTTGTGTGTTTTCCTGTTAACCATGTTGCATCTGGTGCGAAATGTACTGCATTTGATAGTTTCGTGTTTGTTTCAAAGGACTTTGATATTGATGTGCTATTACGTTTCTTATGAGCGTGACAGTGAGTACATTAGATGATGTTGTTTTATGAATTTAGTTTTTTCACCAAATAAGATTGTTATCTACAAGTTCATTACATGATCATTTCATTGGTTTTCCTCTGTTGCAATCACCTTCCATGATGCATTTCACTTACCATATAGTGTGTATGTGCATTTCCCTAGTGGTATTTAGACATTGGTGGAGGTGTGGAACTAAATTCTAAGACGGGTATTTGTATTTTTGGTAAATGAAAAACTATAATGCTATGTTCAGAGGTAGAAATGTAATGCCTATTTTTTATGTTATTACAAAAAGGTTCGATTCGTAGGTGCATAATGTGTTTTTAATCTTTGATATTGTAGGTGGGGGAATAATGAGAGTGCAGAAAAGGAATTCACACACTTTGGTTATGCTTGAAAATAATCTTAAGAGGCCAAAAACATCATCTTCCATTTGTAGGAGTGACCGCAAAAAGAATGCATTAATTAAGAATCATGACAAAAGAGAGAATAAATGTGCCAAAAACTTGGATGATTATAGAGTGTACAGAGCGTGAGGAGAAGACTTGAAAGCAGAAAGAGATAATGTGTAAAATTAGCACAGTCATATTTTAAAATTTAGTTGGCTACGAAGAGAGCATTAATTTCCCGGATGCAAGAGTCTTTGACATTTTTATCATTCATTTATTTTGGTGTTCTAGTAAAAAAGTTGGATGTGGATTAACTTTTTTGATATAGTTCACTTAAGCACAAACTATAGTGCATTGGGCATGATTTTGTATTGGTGCAAGTTTTATGCACTAAATAAAACAACATGATGTGTCAGGTGCATTATATTAAGTGCACTGTACATTTACGTCAATAGACTATGCATTCTTTGTACATTGATCATTTTGATGAAGGATCTGCTATAATGTGTGTGTGGGGGTCTCAAGCGAACAAGAATAATTGTGTCTGCATACCAAACTAAACCACTGATCGAAAGCATTTGTAACTGCATGATGCAGTGTCATCAATAGAAGAATGCATCACTGTAAATATCATTTAATATATAAACATAAATTGAAATCTGTAAAACAGCTAGAAATAGTAGTGTATCTTGTGACACATACAAATAACTAAATGCATAAGAAATATCACAACCAAGAGTTAACCATTATAAAGCAAATAAACAAAATCACAAAGCTTCTTCTATACATTTAATATCACACCCAAGATTTATTTTGTACTTTCAGCACAACTTTTTTCATTCAACATCATGTGAGGTGTCCAAATGTAAAGTGTGAAGATAGATTGAAGTTGGAACTATATTTTTAAATGTACGAAAATGACTTCCAAAGAGCCCTAGAGCCCCTTAAGCCCAAAAAGCTGTTTGTCAAACATCCTCTTCTACCACATGCAATGTAGTTCGTGCACCTATTTTATTCATCATCCTCAACCTTGTATCTGCATTAGTGTAAATGGAACAATTTCTTGTTATTGAACCAGTTATTAAATACAAAAGCAATAAAGCAATCGAAAAATTATTGATTATTCCTTATTGGTATTAGTCAATTATGTCTCTTTTGATTCTCATTTTCTTATTGATTGGTATTACTTATTAGACTAATACTGTAATTTTGGAACATTGTCATTCTAGTGCTATTGGTAAATTCTTAAAAGCAACAGAATAATACAAGGTGATTTCTAGCATTAACATTCTTGAAAGTTGAAAGTAACACACAACCAAATAGGTGCATCTTCAACGTTATCCTAGTAGAGAGAAAAAGGAATTCACTAAATTAAGCCCCGACTGCTAAATGCTTGAATCAAATGAAGAAGCTAATTCCTAAAAAACTGAAGCATTGTTGAATTATGATAATTTTTACGCAGCAAAAACTGGTAACAAAATTAGTCACTGCTTTTTATTCTTTTCATATATGCAGTACCAGTATCACTGAGTGCATTACAAGGCTCTAAAAATGACATCTCATGAACTAAATAGTTCACACTGGAAAATAATGAAACAATATACGGAGTAGTAAATAATGAAGAACCGCAAAATATATTCAACCATAATTCATTAAAAACGACACTCACAGTTTCAATAAAATTTAATCCTTCCACCCTAATCCAAGACACAAATCAATCATCAATTGCAATTAATAGAAATATCCGTAATTTAGCCCAAGAGAATTAAAAACCAGCAAGCAAATGAAATCCAGTATAAAAGATTTGGGGAATCATTGAGCATTTTTTTTATAGATGATTAAGCAATACATAAATGATTTAGAACTCAAAATCAGATGAAGGGAAGAAGAAATATATTAGAAATCAACCACATCTATGTTGAATCAGATATTACTTATTTCAAATAATAGAAAAAAAACAAGAAAGTAAGTAAAATACTTACATGATAAGATTTAATGATTGAATCCTATAATTGACTGAAAACTAGTTGCTCGAGCCACCTGAACACTTGAAAAGAAACCCAATTTTGAAGGGGAAGAGGATCATCTGAGATGACCCGTGGAAAGATCTCAATCATGCAGAAAAATAGCAAGCAAAGAGATAGGAAACAATGATCCTGAATTATTGGATCGTGATTATAAGATCTACGCTTGAATATTGATTTCCCCAAAATGCCCATCTAACTCGGCGAGAGTCATAATAACCGACCAACCAATCCAACGGTTGCAACACATTCTTATTTCTTTCATTAGATCTTATTCTTATTTGAACCAAAATCTATATATATTAAAAATCAGTACATTACTGGACAAAAATTGATTTTTTAAATAATAAACAAAACATTCTCTTCATAAATAAATAATATACGAAGTATTATGAATGTTTATGATACCTTTAAATGAAGTTAGTTTGATTTTATTTATTTAAATATTGACACCTACTAAATAAATACTTTATTTGCTATTATGAAATTTCTTATTTTTTAACACATAATATACCACGCACCTATAATATTCTTTTCTAATTCAATAGAAGTTAGATTTTTGTTTTATAATAATATTCTTTTTTAATTCAATATTTTTTTCTCTTTATGTATAACAACAAATTCAATTAATAAACACTTAACTCTTTTCACCTTTAAAAAAATTTAAAGAGTAATTGTTTAGGATATGCTCTAGAAAATTAATTTTGAATGTATTTGTTTAAATAATGATATAAAATTAAAAAAAAAAACTGAATATATTTTCAAAACTTTTTTAAAAGAATTAAAAGAAAATAGATGATTGGGTTATACTTATCTTCAACTAGAAAAATACTACACATAATTTTGTAGTTTAAATATATTAATTTTATTTGACTTTGGAATTTTCGTGTATAGTATTAAAAATGATGTAAGAAATATATTTTTTTTATTTGAAAAAAATATTACATTGAAAAAGTTCTGGAATCAACAAAAATTATGTTCAATCCCGTGCGTCGCACGGG